CTAAGAGCTACACAGCTTGCACTTGGCACAGGGACTGTGCCCTTGACTTATGACTTGCCATACCTGGTGAGCATGCAAGGTATTTCCATAATGCAGAGCTTACAGTCAGAGAAATAAGTCTGACGTTAAATATTCCACATCTGACATTCGCATATACCATCATTTTTATTCTGCCTGGCACCATCTCACTATCAAAGTGCCTCTTATAAAACATTATTTCTGAACTTTGTTTCTGACTCATTTAATTTTCCCCAGGTTGTTGAATCTCTGTCCTTGTCTTTAAACCATTTACCTCATTCACAGTTTCAATTCCCTTGTCATTTTTTTTTTCTTTTGTAGAAAGTAATTTTTTCCAAAGACATCTTTCAGTCTATGTAAGAGGGAAACGACTTCATTTTTCTTTAGTGTCTCCAAAAGTACTTTTTCTATTTCAAGAAAGCTGAGATCAAGTGACTTTCTCCTCTGTACATCTAGCAACCCATCCTCCCTGTCCTCTTTAGAAATAAACATCATGGGCAACCATGCAGCATGTGTGGGACCAGCCCTAGCTTCCCCTCTAGCACCAATTGGTCTAGGCCACATTGGGTCACCCAGCCCTTGAGGGCACAGATTTGGGGCATCAGAAAATCTGCACAAAGCCTTGAGCTGTTATTGGTTGATTGTGGAAAACCTGGGGCTTCCTATGGCATGGAACAGGAAGCATGTAGGCCTGGTCATAGTCAGTCCTGTGACCACTTGTGAGCCCGAGGAGGCAGCCAACAGTGGTATAAAGGTGACATGGAAACAAACTGCTCCACGTTGTGACAGCCGCTCTGATCCAATGTGTCTCTGGACTCCTTGTCAGCCAATAAATCTTTTTCATTGATGAGTTCTATCAAGTACTGCCAAAGTACTTATTTTCATGAATGGTCCCAACTACTTAGCAGATTAGCTAAATACGCAGTAATACACCTCAAAATACAGTTTGTCAGTCTAAATGTCTAATGATAGAAAATTGGTCAATTAAATCACCCCCATCAACAGCACGTTAACAGGGCAGATTAGATTGTCCTAGCAATAAAATTTACTTTTCATAAATGTACTTTTGCACGATAGGTTGAATCAGCAGATGAATCAGCAAGGGGATCAGCAGATGGCTCTCTTTTCATATGGCTCCACTGAGTTTCTAGAATCCCAGGCTTTTAATGTTGAGCATGGTGACACATGCTTATAATCCTAGCACTCGAGAGGGTGAGGGAGGGAGCTCTCAAGTTCAAAGTCATCCTGGACTATGCGGCAAGACTGTTCCCCTAATGTTTTTGTCACCCCCTTATTAAGCTAACAGAGAGCAAGAGGATGGGGATGGGGGCTTCTTAAAATCTTTGTTCTGGAATTGTAGAAACCAAATCCACTCTCCCCCTAGCTAAAACTCAGTCACATGGTTGTGTGTTAGCATAAAGGAACCCAAAAGAAAGATGGACTTTGGGTAACTCAGTTTACACTCCTAGTTGCAGATAGGACACTTTGGGAGATTGTTAATATGGCATGGGGTTGTGTTAACAGAGAAGGTGCCTAGGGTCGGTCTTCTAGAGGCCCATGCCCCTATATGCCTACCCGTTCAGTCGCCTGTTCCGGCCTTTGTTTTACGTCTTCTCTAGTCTCATCCCTCCACTGGCACATCGCCCACACTCCCAGCAAGCAAGTTCATTCTACCATGTGCTAGTGAGCCATAAAGATTTTACTGAAGATCTTGTGTGAGTGCAGAAATGTAATCGCATTCTTCCATGGACATCCGTTCTTTCCTCCAAAGCTCTCTCCCCTTGCCAGCAACCACACCTCACCTGTTGCTCTTCCCTGCCAAGCAGGCCAAGCACTTCCCTACCAACCGTAATGGCTCCTCAAAGTCTTGTCGTTCTAGCCCTCTGCCCACTCCACAAGACAAAAGACTGCTAATAAACTACAACCCTGTAAACTACACACCAATGACCTCTTTTTTTCCTCCAGTATACCCTTCAAGAGACTTAGGAAATAATTGACAGAGCAAGAAAGTTCTCTTCTTGGGACAAGGTTGAGTGGGAAGTTGCTAATAAGACAATTCATTTTTGCCAGAAAAATTTATTTATGTGGAAAAAAGACTGGAAGGACATCTTGAAGTGTTAACGGTATTTATCTTTAAGTAACTGAATGAAGGATATTTTTTCTTTTGTATTTTCCTATACCTTCATTTAATTTTTGTTTCTATATTGTTCAAGTGTTCTATAATATATGGTGTGTATGTGTGTGTGTGTGTGTGTGTGTGTGTGTGTGTTTTAATGTCTAAAACATATAAAGACATTTATCCTTTGTTCAGGATCACTAATCATTTGGAAAATGCAAATAAAAATGAAAGTAAGATACTAATTCACACTCATTAAGAGGGCTGTAATTTAAAAAAAGAAAATGACAGCTATTATTGACTATATTAGTCCATTCTATGTTGCCATAGCAAAAATAACTGAGGCTGAAGGTTTTTATAAAGAAGACAGGCTTATTCAGTTCACAGTCATGGAGGCTGAAGTCCAAGGCTGGGTACCCTATCACTTTGGCCTGGAGCAGACCTTTGACTGGAGCGTCATGGCAGATAGTATCATGGTGAGAGCTCATGGGGGTAGGAAGGATCATGTGCCAAGGCAGGAAGTCAAAGACCAGGGAGGGGTCAGTCCCACTCTTTTATTGATTTATTGATTTATTTTTATTTTATGTGTATGAGTGTTTCATCTGCATGTATGTAAATGCATCCATGTCGTGCAATGCCTGTGGAGTTCAGCGGTTAAGAGCATTGACTGCTATTGCAGAGCACCCGGGTTCGAGTCCCAGCACCCACATGGCAGCTACCAACCATCCTTAACTCCAGTTCCAGGGAACTCCAAAGCCCTCTTCTCACCTCTGTAGCATTGCACGACACGGGTGCACTCACATACATGCGAGCAATACACTCATATACATAAAATAAAAATAACAAAATACTAAAAAAGAACTGAGGATGTGCATCTAGCAGAACACTGGTGCTTTGCAGGTGGGAATGAAAATAGTACCACAGTGGAAAATAGTGTGGAGACGCCTGTAAAAACTAAACATGGAATTACGTGTGACCCTGCAATTCTACTTCTGAGTGCACACCCAAAAGAGTTGAAAGCAAGAATTTTAGCAGATGTTTGGACACCTGTGGTCATTAGCAGCACCTATGGTCCATACCCCCCAAAATGGAAGAGACTCAGTATTTGTTTAGGGATGAATTCATAAGCTAAACACAGCATGACTATGCAATGGAATATTATTTAGCATTAATCATGAAGGGAGTTCTGGCATGTTCTGTGATCCATGGATGAGTCTTTAAGGCATTATGTTAAGTGAAATAAGCTAGTTTAAAAAGTACAAATATTGTGTGATTGCGCTTATCCGAGCTTCCTAGAGGAGTGAAATTCATAGAGACATAAAATAGTGTGACAGTTACCAAGGGCTGGGGGATGAGAAAAATGAGAGATATTATTTATGAGCACAGAGTTTCTGTATGGAAGGATGAAAAAAACCTGAAGATGGATGGTGATGATGGCTGCACCGCTACATGAAGGTACTTATGTCACAGAGCTGTGCACTTTAAAATGGCTACATTTTACGTTATGTGTATTTTATAATTGTTTTAAAATAAATCTTTCTGTAGTAAATTTTACCTGAATTTTTCTTTTTTTTTTTTTTTGTTTTTTTTAGGCAGGGTCTCCCTGTAGCCCCAGCTGTCCCGGAACTCACTATGTAGACCAGGCTGGTCTTGAACTCACAGAAATCCTCCTGTCTCTGCCTCCCAAGTGCTGGGACTACAGGCGTACACCACCATCATGCCCGGATTACCTGAATTTTTTACTTGGGTAGCGTATGATCTCTTGGAAACTAGATATTTAGGGGAGCATGGTCAAAATAAATTAATCTGTTTATTTGAAAATGTCCTTATGAAGCTAAGTACTATATACAATGAATAGATGCCAAAAAAATAGGAGAAAAAGATATTTCCTTAGTCTTTCTGTCTGTACGTTATTACTTTTTAAACTGAATTTGTAAGGAAAAATACTTAATACACCTGTATTTATACAGGGCTAATTTTTTTAGGGATTTCCTATCCAGTAAGTAAAAAGGACATATAAGCAACTAATTATAGTGTACAGTGGGATGAAGCAATGGGCCAAGTGTAGGGGGACAAGCAAGGACTTCTGCTTGGGTTTGAGGATTCCTAGACAAAGTGTTCAAGCTAAACACTGAAGAACTAATGAAGAGATGTGAGTGGCTTAGAGGTACATTAGAGAGTGGAATGGAGAGAGGAGGGAGGGGAGCTGGGATAAGAGGAAACCAAAGACTCCACTTGCTCGTTTCATTCCCTGGGGCTCCTGACTGGTCACAGCGCATTGTAGGACATGGATCATGTTAACTGATCCCTGACAGCAAGTCCATGTCAGGCTATGATATGGGGATGTTGTCTTTACTGGAGAAGTGACCCAGAAAGAGGGCTGAACTCAGAAAACCACGCCAAAGCCAACTAAGTGAGCCGTTGGCTGGCTTGATGGTGTGAGTCTAGATAAAGGCAGAACATGCCGGAGCTTCCTGTACGAGCTTGGCACTGGCCCCTGCCTGTCAGTGCCTGATCCCTTGCGGCTGTTGGGTTTGTAGTCTGACAATTAGAAGAACAGAAGCCTTTTCCATTCCATCTGAAAGCTTAAGCAATGTTTCTGGTCAGCATTTCAGACTCAGACTGTGGCACATGCATTACCCTAATAAGCACATGGTGGATTTATTTCTAGAGGCTGCCGTGCAAATGGCACACAGCTGGATAACCATCACTGTGACCGGATAGTGAGCAGAACAGAGCACGCTTGTGAACTGGAAATCCGTGGGTGTAGGCTCAGCCGTTCTGCATTATAGGAAAAGGAGAGATCAGCTGATGAAAATGAGTCTGAGGCATATAAATTTATTTCGTGGCCCCAGAAAAGCTCAAGATCAACTCATTCCGCAGTTTATTTTCAGGTAGTGTGAGTCACTCTTGTCCTGTGGCATTTCTACACTATGAAGCCCCCACTGTGTCCTGCTTCCCTGCTTTCTCTTGGGTCCTTGTGCTCCAGGTCCTTGAGGTTCTTCACATCTCCAGGCTCCCTAGAAGAACCTTTAGCCTGATTTGGAAAGCTCTAACAGTGTCTAAGATCCATGAGCATTCATAGCCATCCCTCATCTGACCATGGCTGGGACATCAAGTGTAGGGAATGGGCCAGGTGGAAAATCCTACACCCATCCCCTCTTGTGTTCCAAGTTCCCAAGAACCCGCCACTTTCAGTGGGTCAGGCCCTGACATGAAATCTCTACCCTTCCCTTCTTGGAAGGTTCCTTACTCTCCCCAGGTGGGCCAGATTTAGAGTTGGAAATTCCCTGCCTGGGTCAGGGGCACCCGGGTTTGGAAACACAACTCCTTGCCTGCTTTTCCTGGAAAGAAAAAGAGAGAGTTACCTGTCTTTTGTTTTTGCTGATAGCTCAGTGTAGCGAAATGGAGAAGCTAAATAATTTCTCAATCTCTCACCTCTTTGCACAGTGATGGTGCCACTCTGATGCCTGGAGACAGATGCACTGACATCCCACGTCTGACACCTTGAGGGCAGGTCGAGCCATTGGTCCTACTGCCTTTTCGTCTGCTCACAGGTCTGTTCTGGCTGTAGCTTGTTGGCATTTCTGTGTGGGACATGATTTCTGTTTTGGTTCCTCACACTTATATTCAGGGCTCCTAGGTAGCACTTCCCACTGTTTCCTGCCCACTCCTAGGTCTTCTCCCCAGATTTCAACACCCCAAAGTGTCTGATCTGAGTGTACAATAAGCTCACAGTAATGTAGCACAAGCTAGCCCTAGCAATGCAATGGCTGAAGGTTAGCAATCTGATGTATGCACGAACCCTCCTTCCTTCCACGTTTCTAAAACTCCTTTTGAACTAGGCATCCTGACATGTGAAACCCAAGGTAACACTGTCATTTGTGAAGAGGCCAGCTGTCCCCAGACCCAGGCCAAGAAATCCTGGGAGCTTTTAGCCTGTGCTCAGCTATGTGGCCAAGGCGCTTCACTCAGAAGCATCAAGTGGCTTAATCTGTTTATAGCGGAGGGCCTCTCAGTTGGCTTTTCCCAGAAAAGGAGGAGCTACTGGCCTACTCCCTTCTAGTCTGCTCAGGGGTCCCTACGATGAATAACTCAGATACTTGTGGGTGAGGTATTGCTGTTTAGTTTCCTTACACGTATATTCAGTTATTTAAGGAGGCTTCCAATCTGCCATGTTTGGTATGCTCTTCTCACCCTGACAGGGTTCCTGGTGAAGCCGAAGCTAACTTGTTCTCTCTGAAGTCCAAACTAAGGGACCATACCGTGGTCCAAATTATTCATGTTAGAAAATTCTCATCTAGGCATGGTGGGGTCATACCTGTAATCTCAGCTACTCATGAGGCTAAGGCAGGAGGATAGCAAGTCCAAGGCCTGCCTGGGCTACACAGAGTTTGAGGAGAGCCTGAACAACCTTGAGAGACCCTGTCTGAAAATAAAATCTCTAGAACTGATTTTTGAAATTATTTAGTAATTATTAATGTATATATAGATGTAGTTATACACACACACACACACACACACACACACACTTGCACCACAGCATGTATGTGGATGTCAGAGGACAACTTTTGGGAGTTGGTTCTCTCCTTCCATTGTAGGATCCAGGAACTGAACTCAGGTCATCAGACTTACATGGCAAGTGTTTTACCTGCTGAGCCATCTTTGTTGGCCTTCAAAATATTTTTTTGAGACAGGGTCTCCCTGTAGCCCCATCTATCCTGGAACTCACTGTGTAGACCAGGCTGGCCTTGAACTCACAGAGATTGGCCTGCCTCTACCTCCCAAGTGCTCATGTGGCAAAATAATTTTTTTAAAAGAAAAAAGGTCTGGGGATATAGCCCAGTGGTACAGTCCTTGCTTAGCTTGTTGTGGGTTCAGTACCCAATAGCATACACAAAGAATAAGAAGATTCTCTTACACTGGGGTCTCCTTTCACAGTCCTGCCCTACAGACTTAGGCCAAGCCCCACTCCAGTCTTGTACCTGGTGTCTAGAATGATTTTAAGACCTCTTTTGCCCTCCTCACTCACCTGTCCATCTAGAAGCTGTATCCTTTAACCTTCTCCTGGCTGTGGCCCCAAGAGTTTGGAGGGCATTTCTCTGCTCTGCTGTAGCCGGTGTGCATGCTCAGTCAGAACATCTGACGATCTGATTTACGTTTTCCAGATTTATCGCATTATTCGCATACCCAGGCCAGCTGATATTTTAGGCGCGTGAATCAGAGCGTCTGGCATGGCTTCCTATACAGCAGAGCTCGGGCTACAGGCATAATGAAGTTGGGAGGGAGAGGAGTTCAACTTATCAGGGAGGAAATTTATGTCAGTAACAAGTCTGCCTGGCAACAGCACCAGGAAGAGAGATACCAGGCTCCAACATCAGACTCAAAGCCTTCACTCAGGAAGCAGCACAGCCTGTGTGGTTTTCCACCACAGTGGGCTGACTCCGCTCCTTTTTAAGAGGAAGAGAACTTTCATTGATGCGTACTTCAAAGGATAGCCCCCAAATGTGCCACCGAACAGGGAGACATGGTGAGCAGCAATGTTACCAGGCCGTGGCCATCCGTGGATGAGTTATGAATGAATAAGAAGTGATCCTCTGCCATGGACTGTGAGGCTGGGAAAGAATCAGAAAGAGGCAGAGCCAACCGGCTTTTGTGACTCTGTGTAGGACTGTGTTTGGAAAAGGGGGCTCCAGGCAAAGGAGAGAGGGGGACTCCTTGACACGCTCAGTCTCCTAAGCATGCACTGCTAAAACCCAGTTTTCTATTTATCAAGGGATCCATGCAGAATAAGAATAAGGAACAAAGCAGGTGAAGGGCTGATCTGGCCCTCCTGGCACTTGGCGCTACCTTGCTGGACAGCAGTGAGTGTTTGTTCTGGACACCTCAGTGTGCAGGACAGTGATTGGCAGAATCAAAACTTAATGAGGGTGTGCTGGACGGGACCTGGCCACAGCTCTATTTACACTTTAGGAACCCCGAAATTGTGTCTCTTTACCCCTCCCCAGTTTCCTTTCCACTGTCTGGAGAATGAACCAATGACCTCACAGAGGTCTTCCTAGGGCTCACAGTTCAGGATTCCAAGTCAAGCAAGTTTTGAGATCCTAAGAAAGCAGAGTTTCGAAAAGTCCCATAAATATTTATATCTCAGATGCCAGACTGTCAGGTTCCCCTTTCCCCTCAGCGCGTGCTCACATGTCTTTAGGCTTCAATGTTCCCAATCATACATCAGTCCGTGGTATCTGGGATGCATTTACATTTTTAGCATTGGTGTAATTGTATTTGGTTTCATGCCACAGGAAGTTCAAGCCTGATTCAATTAAGGAGTTTTATAAAGTGAGTTTTTAAAAGGGAAAGACAACGCATCGCACGTTTCCCCATGTCCTTCACATTGTTATCCAGTCAGGCACACTGGGGCGACTTGTGCTCCAGTCCAAGAATCTGTTAACAATCCACTGAGTTGAATATTTTACTGTCTTATTTGGAAGCATGGAATTTAGCTGCTGGAAGGGACTTTTAAGGTAGGCAGGCACGTCCTCTAAAACAAGGGGAAGGGGACTTTCAATGCATTTTTGAATACCTCTCCTAATGTAGTCTTCATAGTGTGGGCCTGAAAACTGAGCAGAAAGAAACCCATCTGTGAAACCTGGTGATGAGAAGGCAGTCAGCAACAGAGTCGGACCCAGTCTGCTTCTCTTTCCAATGAAAACTTCCAGAGTAGGAGCTAAATTCCTGTATGTCAGAGAAGGGGTGGAGACAACTGCAGAGAATTGGAAACTCTTCCCAGGTAACAGCTGCAGCTGGCTTTTTCCATAAAAGCCACATTACAGAAAAGCAATCCTCCTTGGGAAGAGAATGGTGACAACTCAGGACTTAAAGGGAGGGAACTTTGAGCCACTGTAAACAGAGAAACCAGAGTCTATGCAATGGGCCAAAACCTCAGGTCTGGGTAGACAGGCAGGCTGGTGGTTGAGCCCTGAAGAGAAACTTAAACAAAAAAACATGAGAACAAAGATCCTGAGATGACCCAAATTTCAGTAGCAGAAACAGTTTTGAGCTACAAATGGGAGAGTGTCATTGTTCAAATGTGAAATGTCCCCCCACAGACTCTTGCTGAAAGCTTACACCCCAGCTGGTGTCGCTATTTTGGGAAGTGGTAGAAACTTTGGGAGGTAGATGACTGGGAGGGGAATGAGCCTTTGAAGGCGTATCTTGCCCAACCCTCTCTCTCTCTCTGCTCCCTGTTGTCATGAAGTGAGCAGCTTTCCTCAGCCATGAAGTGTCTGTCTTCTCTAAAGGAAATAGAGCTGAAACCTCTTAACCCAAGTCTAAACTGTGCCAGTAAAGACCAAAGACCATACTCAAGGCTGATCTCGAGGAAAAGATGGAGAGTTTGGTTGAAGCCTGGGAGAAGTGAGCATCGGAAAGGGTCAAGGCAGAAGATTCAGAAGAGTGAGTCTGGAATGTCTAGAGCTCTTTTTACATGATATATGACTGTGGCTGGGTGACCATTTCCAGGAACTACATAGCAGTGTGTCCAAAACCAAGAGAATAAGAGAGTATAGAATGACCAGGTCAGAATTATTTTCTTTTTAAAAATATTTTATTTAATATTTTTATTTTATGTGTATAAGTATATTGCCTGAATGTATGTAAGTGCACCCGTGTCACACAATAGCCATGGAGGTCAGAAGAAGGCATCGAATTGCCCTGGAACTGGAGTTAAGGATGGTTGTCAGCCACCATGTGGGTACTGGGAATCGAAGCTGAGTCCTTTACAAGAGTAGTCAGTGCTCTTAACCCCTGAGCCATTGCTCCAGTTCCAGCATTATTTTCTTTAGACAATGTCCTTGGGTATTAGAAATGAATACAAGCACTCAATCTGTCTCCACTCTGTTTGCAAGTCACTAAAGATCTAGCAGAAAGGAGTTAAAGCCACAGGAATCTCAAAATACTATGAAAATATAAGAATACTTATAAAACAAGATGTCAAATGAGATAGGTGGAGAGGGTTATTTGAATCAGGGGCCAGTGCTAAGAATAGCTCCCAGGTTTTTCCATCCCTTCCCATCCTTCCAGTGATGTCCAAATAGGATGGCTCTCCTCAAGGCTTCTGGCATTCTAGGTATCAATACAGGCAATAATATTTAACACAGAGAAAACAGAAGGCTCTTCCCTCGCAAAGCTTCTTCCCAGGAGCACCTCTCTCCAGTTTCCCTCACATCTTGTCAGTCAGAACTGTGCCATAGACTCCCAAGAGAACAGAGAAACTGATGAAGTTTGGGTCTACAAGGGCAAGGCCGTCCCCTGAAGCACATGGCCAGGAGACACAGCTGAGCATGACTGGACTAGCATACCAAGGTAAGAGCAGGGATCGAAGCAGCACATGGAATTCCTCCGGTTTAATGGCCATGGAGAGGGAGGGGTGGGACATCCCTGAGATACTCAGTGCAGCCTGTCCTCCATTGACTCTCTACTTTCTCCTTCAGGGACAGTTGTAACAGAGATGTTACCAAGGCCAAGAGAAATGAGCTAATACTCCCAAGGCTTCTTCTTAGGGAGAGAGAGCTCTCAGTCCACACTGCTCTGACTCAGTGCAGTGCACTTTCCACCACACCAAACTGCCATTTTCTGGTAGCATTTAAAATCACGCCAGCTAAGACTGGATGCAGGATCATTTCCCCGAGAAATTAGACATGGTCAACTTGTTGTTCATGAGATGTAACCATTTTGGTGGAAACAGCAAAGAGTTCAGAATCAGATCTGCTTTAGTTGTTGACTCAGTTCTTTAGCTAAGGGGCATCCACTACTATTCCTTTGGCATGTGAGCACCTTCAAGAAAGGTGATATTCTGAGGGGTACCAAGGCAATAAGTGAGACATTCTTAAGTCCCTCCAAAATGGTGCTGCCCCAATGGCTATAGACAAGGAGCTACAGAAACTATTCTCACTTTTCATCCTCACCTAGCACCCCACCTTGGCAAAACCTAAGAAGCCAAAGAGAAGGTTAGAGGATAGAGGGAGGAGTGGCAGGTCTTGAAAGGAGACTGACCTCAAACAGCTGCTGTGTGTCTGGTATCGACTAGATGCATGGGTATAAATGGATATGATTTTCATTATTTTATAGTCAGAATCCTAAAGTCAAGTTCTGGAAAAGCTTCACATAGATAAAAGGCAAACCCAGCACTCTAGACCTTGTATTGGGGATCATAGCTGCTGGTCTGCCTGTTCCTCCTCGCTTCTTTCATCTTTCTGCAAACGTAAGTGCATTATGGCTCCCCTCTTAATGTATCTCTCCAAGCCCAATGACTTCTTCTACTCTAACTAAACTTACGTGTCAGTGTCCCAGATACTTAGCAAACAAGTCTGACAGAAGCTATAGTGCTGATAATGTAAAAACCCACCTGCCTTCTGTCATGACAACATCTTGAATTATTTTTTTCCTGAGCAATGGTGAGTCCAGCTAATCAGTCAATAATACAACAATCATTTCTTCCCTGGGGTCACCAGTGACCAGCATGTGATGACAGACTGCTAGTCCATCCTAAGCTCAAGAGCCAACAGTCTATGAAGCTTCTCCTAGCTCAGAGGTGAGCCCATCACACGAAGAATAGATGAATCACAAATGGGATCTGAGAAGTAGGGACGTTTCTATACACACCCATTCCCTTCCGCTCATTCTTCCTCATCCCTCTCCGTTTCTTCTTATTAAACCTCAGATATTAGCCCTCTTCACTTTCTCAGGGCTGTCGAACTATGAACTCCATGGTCCCCCACCTGTGGACTCTGGTGCAGTGAACCGGGCCATTCATCCAGCAATCCCAACCCCTGACCAGTAAAGCCCATTTCCTGATCCCAGAAGAAAACCAGCTTAGGCGCTGAAGTAGGTTGATGCTCTCCGTTCCTAATTCACCTTGAGACCAAAACGCTACAGATGGCTTGGGTTTTGATTAAGACATTGGGTGTTGGTTCCTGGCTGTTTATTCCCCAAATTACCCTCTTCTAATGACTTGATTTGGTTCATCATGGGTATGTCAAATATTGGACAATCCATTAGGAGGGAACTACTCTTTATTAAATCCTCCCTGTTTTCTCCCTCAGTCAACTGTTGAATGAGCCAAGGGAAAAGTATATTTGGGATTCCTTTTTTTCCTTCTTCTTGAGACAAGGTCTCATTATGTGGCCCTGGATGGCCTGGAATGCAATAAATAGATC